TGCCAGGGAAAAAAAAAAAAAGGCTGAGGAGGTGAGGCAGATGGGCAGATGTCACCGGCAGAGCATCACCCCACAGGAGTCAGCCCCAGCTCTCCTTTGGGTGGTCTGGCTGGAGAAAAGCTCTCAGTGAGCTCAGAAAAAGGGTGTTCATGGGATGGAGGTGGCTGTTGTGCCAGCTGTGGGGCTGGCTGCCTTCCTGGCATGCCGCCGGGCTGCCCCGCTCGGGGAGGTGCCGGCTGTGCTCGTCGCCACCCTGCCGGCTCACCACGGGGGACCACGGGTGCTCAGTGGGGCCAAACAGGGTGTCAGCTCCTCGCCGCCCCCACGGTCTCCCTGCTTGGCCGATGTCCCCTGGGGCATTCCCGACGCTGGAGCACGAGGCCGGACAGGGTCAGGCGCTGCAGCCGGCCAGGCCGGCTCCACGCTCCTGTGAATAAGCAGGAGACATTATCCCCCAGGTCAGTGCATGCCTCCCTATGTCTTGGTGCAGGGGGCTGCTCCCCGCAGCGAGGTCTCATCACCACCCATCCGAGGTTTGTCTTCCCCGCAGCCCCCCTCTGCGGGGAGCAGGGCCGGGAGCTGCTGAGGCAGCGTTCCCTGGGTTGGTGCATGCCTCCCTGCATCTTGATGCATGGGACTGCTCCCTGTGGCAAGGTCTCATTGCCACTCATCTCTTTGCATCTGGGGTTTTAATTCCCCGCACACACACACACCCATCAGGGAGTGAGGCCAGGAGCTGCTGAGGCAGCATTTCCCAGCGGTGGTGATAGAGCAGGCAGGGGGCCTTTACCAAATGGAAAGAGCGTGGGGTTGGGCATCAAGGGGCTGGCGGGGGCTAGGGCTACTGCTCCTGGCTGGCTCCAGGCTCCTGGCTGGGGGGCAGGGGGCTGAGCTCAGCTTCGGGCTGCCCTATTGCACAGGGCTGGGGGTGTCCCCACAGAAGAGTCTCCTGGCTTGCTCCACTGCCTCTGTAAACAGGAAATTCACAAGCAGCTCCAATCTCCTTTTTGGGAGCAAAGCCTCACAGGGCATTCCTCCCCATTTACTCACTGCTGTGCAAACCCCAAATACCATCCCTGTGATGGTGCAGCTGCTCCAGCCACCCTACTCTGGCAAATGTGCCTCGTCCCTCTCCAAGGTGGGAACCGGAGGTGTGAGGATGCGGTGGAGGGGTTGCACATGCTGGGCTCCGGTTGCATGGCTGGGAGGAGCCAGCATCAAACAGTGTGCTAGGGATGGAGAGAGTCCCATTGTCCCTATAGAAAGGTGATGCAATGCATGCCCCATCCAGGCTTGTTGCATAGTGCCAAGGGGTGTTCTGGATAGTGAATGCAAAAGTAACTGCCAAAAATGCTTTTTATATATGGAGATATATATATATGTCACAAGGAGTGACTGAGGGGTTTCTGCTCCCCCAGGCTGAGGCTGAAGTGGCTTTTCTTAACCCCCGCCGTATCCAACTAGTGGAGGAGGAGCTGGACCGAGCCCAGGAGCGCCTGGCCACTGCCCTGCAGAAGCTGGAGGAGGCTGAGAAGGCGGCTGATGAGAGTGAGAGGTGTGATGGGGAGGGACAGTGAGGGTGGTGTTGGGTCACCCTTGATTGCAGGCAGCCCCCTTTTTTTCACAGTGGGGTTTGAGGATCCCCCTGAAGTGATCTTATGGGGTTTGCATTGTTTTTCCTGCAGACCCCGAATGGAAAGAGCAAAGCCACAACGCAGAGAAGTCACATAGATATGGGCATTCTTGGCATGCTTTGAAATTTCTAGGGCACCCATAAAATCCTGAAAAATTTGATTTGGTGCTTATACAAATATCAGTCTGTAACCGAAGCCAGAGGGTGCTCGGAGCCTGTTTTCTGCCCCAGAGCAGCCTCCTCTGCTCGAGAGCTGAGCAATGGCCCAGGGGGGGACTTCTGCACCTGGGAACTGCAGTTGACCTTTGAGAACGAATCAGCCTCATTCAAAAAAAAGTCCTGCAGAGTGTGTTTCCCCATCCTCGTGGCAAGCAGGTTTATCGGGCAGGAGCTGTGCAGGTGAGGGCACTCAGGTTGTATGGGAATGCCCAGACACGTCACAGCATTCCTGACAGTTACATGAGCTCTTCCTTCCATTGGCAAAGACCAGTTTGAGCAACAGCATCTGAGCAAGAGGAGAAGTCTGCAGGAGTCCCCGCTGTGGGGGTTCGTGGGGGTTTGGTGACCCCCCGCTTGTGAGCATTACACCTGAATGGGAAAAGGCTTTGCCACAGGATGTTTTCTAGCATTTCCTAAAGGTTGCTGGCCTGTCAGGCTGCTTTTGTGGAGGTTGTGGCCAGTTCATTCTGGGCTGCACACGTTTTTACCCCCTCAGACAATAGGTTCAGGACCTGCCTGGTTGAGAGGCACCATGGCCACATCTTGCTCTGGGACACGGCCCTGGGGTGGCCTTGGGGTCAGCTCTGCTGCTTTAATTGTGTGCAGGAGCATCCTTGGGGTATCGCTGGTGTGACCCTACAGCATGAGGTGGCCAGCGAGTGCAGGTGTCCCAAGTCTCCAGAGCTGTAGGGACGGCATGCAGAAAGTGCAGGTGCCACCTTGACCCACAGCAGTAACATCTTCTCGTTTGGGCTTTCCTCAGAGGCATGAAGGTCATCGAAAACAGGGCCATGAAGGATGAGGAGAAGATGGAGCTCCAGGAAATGCAGCTGAAGGAGGCAAAGCACATAGCGGAGGAGGCTGACCGCAAATACGAGGAGGTGTGTGCCCCTTTCTCCCAGTCCTCACCCTGCAGCACCACCCAGGGCCACCTCCTTGCAACCTTGTGCCCCCCAGCTGGGGCAAGCACAGGGCTGACCGTGCCTCTTGCTGCCGTCAACAGGTCGCCCGCAAGCTGGTTGTCCTTGAGGGAGAGCTGGAGCGCTCAGAGGAGAGGGCAGAGGTGGCGGAGAGGTGAGAGGGGCTCCTAGCGGGCAGCATGTGGAGGTCCCACACGGCCCTTGCCCTGAGTCCTGGGCAGCTGGGGGCGGCTGTGTGTCCGTGTGGGGATGGGGATGTCCTTCCCCAGGAACAGCAGGGTCTGCTGTTCAGGGTGGTCCCTGTGCTTGCAGGCTGGGGGCAGGGGGATGCCAGCCTGCTGGCAGCACATCCTTGACCCTGTTCTCTGCTGTCCCCTTGCCGGGGTGCCCCTCTTCCACCCCAGCCGAGTGAGACAGTTGGAAGAAGAGCTCCGGACCATGGACCAGACTCTCAAATCCCTCATTGCCTCAGAGGAAGAGGTACTGGGGCAAGGGTGCGGGGCGACACGCAGCAGCCCCCCTTTCTCTGTCGCTGTCTCTCAAACCGTGCGAGCCACCTCTCTCCTCTCTGCACCACTGCCTCTGCCACTGACCTCCCCTCGCCTCCCTCTCTGGTGGGTGCAGGCTGGACATGCTCCTCCATTCCTCTGTGCTTGCTCTCCTTGGCAGGGCTGGTGGGAGCCCATCCAGCAGTGATGCATGGGGTGTCCATGTGAGGAGGCACAAGGAACGGAGGAACGGATGCATCCTGGCAGCTTCCACTCGTAGGGGCTCTGCTCCTTCTCCGCCTGCGCTGCCTGAGTTTTCTCCTCTCTCAACTTGTTCTCTCTCTTTCTTTCCTCCTTCCCAATGCCTGCTCTTTCTGCTCCCCTCTTTCACCTGCCCCTTGACCCTACTCCCCTTCCTGGCGGCCCCTGCTTGGGATGTAGTAAATGTGGTGACCTAGAGGAAGAGCTGAAAATTGTCACCAACAACTTGAAGTCCCTGGAGGCCCAGGCTGACAAGGTAGGACCTGGCAGGGCTGCTGGGGCTGGGCAGAGCGCGCAGGGTCTGGGGGTGCTGCGGTCCCCCACTGGGGTGAAGGATGGCCAGAGGTGTCCTGTGGGGCTCATGGGTGCCCGTCTCTGTCTCTGCAGTATTCCACCAAGGAGGACAAGTACGAGGAGGAAATCAAGCTTCTAGGGGAAAAACTGAAGGAGGTAAGAGGTGTGGGGCCAGGAACCCCAAGAGAGGGGCTGGCACGAGTTTGCCATCCCATGTGGGTTTTGACCCTGTAACACATGCCCATGTCCTCTCACCCTTCACCAAATTGCAGCCCTGCAGCATGGCGGGGGGCTGGGGCTGGGATGCCCCCATGGGGTCCTACTACCCCAGAGATAATCCCTGTCCCATCTGGAGGGCTGATGTTTGCATCCCCAGGGAGCACAGCCCCACTGGGGTGCATCCTGCAGCCCCATGCTGCTCTCTGCTCACCTCCGCCCCACATAGTGTCCTGCTCCCAGGACACGTGCTCATGCCTTGCACACACCAACTTCAAGCCATGTCTGATTTGGGGTCATCCATCTAGTGTTGGTTGCATGCGCAACCTGTGAAGCATGCGGGCTTCCATTGACACCTCTGCTTTTGGTGGTCAGGACAGATTGGGATAAACGGGAAGCCCAACATGGAGGCACTTTGTCCAGCTGCCTCCTTCGAGGGCAAGCTCTCATCCCTGCTGTTGGTTTAGGGTGTGTGGGTCCATGGGGACTTTGTCCCTTGCCTTTCCTAGAGGAGGGCTCATGGAGAGGATATGGGAGATGCAGATGGGGCAGATTTGGGGTGTGGGGCAGCCTGCACTGTCCCCATTGTGCCCTGCAGCTCACCGTCCCCCCCCTGCACTCCCACAGGCTGAGACCCGGGCGGAGTTTGCGGAGCGGTCTGTAGCGAAGCTGGAGAAAACCATTGATGATCTAGAAGGTAAAATGTCCTCACCAGCTCCGTGTCCCTCTTTCCCAGGGAGCACTGGCTAGGATGTGCCCTTGGTGGGGCTGGACAGGACTTGGCCGGGGTGAGGGGGTGAGCAGGTGTCCTGGGATGGTGGAGGCTGGATGCTGTGATGTCCGGTGTGGGGGTGCAGAGCTGCTGGGGTCTGTGGCTC